ATCATTCAGTGCATTGAAAATAATGATTTTATACTTGAGCTGCTGTGTTTATTATTATTGTACTTGTAGCATCTGAATCGACCACATATTAAAAATCCTTTGAAATTTTTACTTGAAAATGTTCTAATGATATATAACAATCTATGCTGGCTATTTTACAACAACTTTGATTATATAGTACCAAATGTATTGTGCCTTTTCTCTAAAATTTGTATTTTGATGTTATGATGTAAGACTCTAATGGCAGTTCATTTTAAAGAATAAGATATGCATGGAGTTTTGTATGAAAAATTATAACAATGGAAGAAGTGTATGCCCATTTGGTCTAGCATACTGATATCAGCCTTTCTTCAGCTGCACTATAGATTGTTATTCTGCTCATGAACTTAGGTCAAGTAATGGGCTGATAATTTTTGAGTGACGTTGAGTGCATTTTACATTGTTCTTTTGTTACCATTCCACAATGCCCATTTTAAATATCTTTATATAGAAATTAAATTTAGTTTAAAAATAATTGGTTGCTTGTTATAGGGCACATGCTATATTAGTGCAAAGGATCTGAGCTGAATAATACATTTGTCCTGTCGTCATGGAACTTAAAGTCTTATAAGGAAGACAAACAAGCAAATCAACAGTTACAAAAGGCATCTAACCATTCAGGAGATTCTGTCAGCTCTCTCTTGAATGTATGTCTGAAACTGGACCATTTCTCTCCAGGTGTACCACTGCTGTCCGGATCCCAACACCCTTATCTCTCACCTGGACTGTCACAGGTGATGAATCTCTAATTCATCTTCCTCTTTCCATTCTTGCTCCCCTCAATCCTTCATTCTATTTTCAACATAGCAGTAAAAGTCATTTTTTTAAAAAAGCCAGATCACATCACTCCTATTCTCAAAATCCCCAGATCACTTGCAATAAAGTCAAAATACAATCCCCTACAGGCCCTGTGTCATCTGATCCCTGCTAGGGCTCTGACATGAACTCTTACCACTTTCCTCCTGGTTTACTCCACTCCAGTCACATTACCTCCTTGCTGTTCCTTGAACACTCCAAGCATGCTCAGCTTCAGACCTTTGCACTTGCTGTTCCATCTGCCTGGAACCTTCTTCCCCCATCAATCTACATGGCTATTGTCCTCACTTCCTTCCACTCAAATGTCTCATCAGGGAGGCCTTCCCTGACCGCCCTGGATCAGACAGCAACTCCTGCCGCTCAGCTTTTCCTGCTGTCCTCACTCTGCCGTATTTTTCTACACTTCCTTCTCACTCTCTGACATTTATTTAAATGGTTTGTTAAATGTTAATTGTCTTATCCCACTGTATGCAAATTCGTGAGTGTAGGGACTTACCTGTTTTGTTCACTGCTAGTTATTGCTTGATACGGTGTCTATTTTTTTTAACTTCTACCATCCTTTCTTTCATTGTTTTTGTTTGTTATATTTATCCGGTAAATCTTTCCTTACTTTTTAAAAAAATCTTTCTGTAAAAATATTTGGTTTTTAATACTGATTTTAAATACAATTAGATTTATTGTCATAATTATTATGAGGTTTTACTACTTTCTGGTTTCTATTCTTTTTCTACTTTACTGATTTTTTTTTTACGTTTCCTTATGCCTTTTGTATATAGACTAAGCTTTCTTTATTTTTATTTTCCCCAGTGATTTGAACAATATGCACCCTGTTCTTGGTTCTAGGTTGTAGTCATCTTTACGTTTTTGTAAACCATTATTGAACGTTTTTTCTCTGTTTATAATGAGGAAGGAGAGAGTCCTAGCTTTTGGCCGAGCTGTGACTACTACTCATGTGCAGCCATTTCTGGTTTTCCTTTCAGGAGAGGCAATGCTTTAGATGGTTGGCATGAGGAGTTCTGTAGACAGAAGGAGCACAAAGAACCTTCACTGTGGAAAAGGGAGAAATTCTGGTATAGCCTAGGCTCAGTCTGGTCCCAGGCACTTCCTCAAAGTCTCAGTTCTGAAATCTTTGGGGGAAGGAGCTGTACATGAGAATCACAGGTACTCTTTTCACAACAGCATGTCTGGTCCTCAAATGTCCAAATATGGCACATAACTGAGGAAAGGGAGTTTTCTTGCTTTGGCATGAAGCATAGCACAGCACTGGAATTCAAAGACCAGAGGAATTCAAAGAGCCAAGTCAGTTTTTCAATTCATGGATGTGCAGCGACCTCTGGTGATAATCACCTTGATGTCATGGTGTGTTCTTCCAGAAGTGACAGTGGGGTGGTGCCCTTGAAGGGCTGCACTAATGCCAGAGAGTAATGAGCAGAGCTGAAGCAGAGATTGTTGAACTGGCCTAGAACAACTGAAAAGAAGTATTTGTGAACACAAGTGTCATAGTTCTGAGCATCCTAGAAATTATTAGAGTACACTTTTCCAGGAGACAGAGGCTTTACATTAGTAGGTGCAGTTGTGGAAAGATAGCTTAAATAGTTAAATGGAAGAACCATATTATAATTTTGAACTCCTCTGATTAAAAGCAATGACTTAAATAAGCTTTTATTTCCCACCCCTTAACATTTTCTGCTATCTTACTCCTTAATATTTTCTAATACGATCTGAAATTAGATACATGGGTTTTTATTAATGCATTTTTCTGATTCTTATTAAATATCTTGTCTTTCAAGGATAATTTTCACTCTTGCAATTTAATTTCGTTGTATTCATCACTTTCATTTGAAAAAACCTACTTATTTTGCTGGTAATAATGTTTTCTGGAGTTCTATTGTACTACAATTTCTCCATTTCTGTCTTTTTATTTTCTCTGCATTTCTTCTAGAGTATATCTTGGTGTAAGACCTCATGATGTGTGTGTAATCTGAGCCTTTGAATATCTGACAATTTCCTCCCATTACTTTGAGATATTAATAAAGTTTTGGCTAGGTTTTCTCTACTTTTTTACTCTCCACTGAACTCCAGAAGCTTTTAGCTCACTGCCTACTGGTTATCTCCACTTGAATGTTTAAAAGATATCTCAGAATATATCAGATAATGTAATTGTGTCAGCATGCAATTTCAGGGGCATAATATTGAGATTGTGGCTAAGAGAATATTCATGTTCTTAAGAGATACATAGTGAAGTATTAGATGTTGTGGCAACCATGAAGATGTCACTTAGATCTCCTGTTGGGGGAGCATAAGTGACTGTCCCAGGTGCTGCTCTTCTTGACCCCCGCCATGTTCAAACCGAGAACATACTTCCTGTAGGCTACTCCCAGCCAGTGGCTGTGCAGAGTCAAGGTATTAATGCAAGCCATTCCTGCAAGGGGTGACTCCTTTAACAGGCAGCTTTGGCTCAATAAGGACTTCCCGTTGGCCTGGCCAAAACTGTCTGAGAAAGGTGCTGCCTTCTGAGACTTCCTCTCCAATCCTCCTTCCTTCTCCCTCTCCTTCACAGGAGTCTCAAGTCTCCCCCTGCCTTCTTTGCTTCTTGCTCCCTCCACTTTTATCCCTCAAAGCTGTCATATATATATGAAGAGAGAGAGTGGGGGAGAGAGAGAGGGAGGGAGAGAAAAAGAAAGGGAGAGAGGGAGGGGGCGAAGGAGAGGGAGAGCAAATCTCTCAGCATGTTAACGACTGGAAAGTCTAGGAGAATATTAAGTGGGTGTTCATGGTACTATACTTTTGAAGATTTGAAATTTTAAGTAAAAATTTGGTAAAAAATAAAATAAAAAACTACCAAAAAAGATATCTTAAATTCAGCACGTCTGTTGACGAGACGGGTGTTTGCCTGTTTTAATATGTACTTTCTCCATTCTCCTCAGTAAAAGATCCCTGATTTTATCTGGGGCCCAATACATCCAGCTCAAAACTTCGTTTCAATTAAAGCATCATCTAATCTTTAAGTTCTAGCCATTGAAATATAAGCATATGTGTTATGTGGGACTTGTGGGTAGTCTTCCTAAAAGGAGTGAGGTATGCCCTATTTCTCGCCCTCCTTCAGGGCTTCCTGAACTGTGGATATAATGACTGGAGCTCAAGCAGTCATCTTAGACCATGAGACAACACATCGGAGAGAGTAAAGCAGTAAGAAAGAAGGAGTCTGTATTCCTGATGTCTGGAGTTAGTATGTGAGCCCTAGACCTTCTACCTTCAGGATTCTTTAACATGAGAAAGAAACAAACTTCTATCTAGTTAAAGATATCATTATTTGTTGTTGTTATTTAGACAGCTAATTTAATCTTAAGCTAATATAGCACCCAAAACTGAAGACTCGATTCTCATCCCCACTCCAAAAACAACATTCTCCCCAGTCCATTCTTCTGGATGCTTAGGAGAAGAACCTTACAAAAATCTGTATTTGTTTTCTATTGTTGTAATAACAAATATCACAAATTGAACATCTTAAAATAACACCCATTGATTATCTCAACAATTCTGTGGGTACTCTAGACGTGACTTAACTGGTCCTCTGCTGAGCATCTCAGGGCTGAAATCAAGGGATCAGCAGGGCTAAATTCCTTCCTGGAAACTCTAGGGGAGAGTCCACTTCCAGGCTCATTCAGGTTGTGGGCCAATTACAATTGCTTACAGTTGTAGAACTGAGGTCCTGTTTTCCTGCTGGCTATCAGTCAGGGGAAGGACTTTGTTCCTACAGGCTTGCATATTCCTTCTCATGCATTCCATGAAGCCTACCAGCAAGGATGGGCCCAGGCCTTCTAAAGCTTTGAATCACTCACCATCTTCCTCTTTTGCTTTTAAATTCATGTTTCTATATTGGGCCCACTCAGATAATCCAGAATAATCTCCCTCTCTTAAAGTCAACTGATTAGTAATCTTAATATCGTCTGCAAAGTCCCTGTTGTCAATATCATAACATAACCATGGGAGTAACACCAGGGAGTGAAACCAGCAAAGAGTTAGCCATTGATGATTAAACAGCTAGTAACTATGAGTGATCAGAATAGGCCCCCACCCCCACTAACTAACCAAAGGAGTTTGGGATGAGAGGCGTGCCCCTAGAACAGGCCATCACCATAGACATCTCCGGTGTCTGAGTTGGTCCGTGAAAATCTCCATTTGTAAAGGAATCTTCTTCCCTGTACCAGGAAGAGGAGGGGGATGGCCTTACCTAGAAACTTATCAGAATGGAAAATGAAGACTTAAATCTGCGTGATAAACTTACTCATTGTTAACTGTGCTGTTTAGGTAATATGCTATCTGACTCCCACCAGTTTCCTATAGGTAACATCCCCCTGGAGCCGGGGTCACCATGGTAATGGGTGTTTGAGCTATTTTTTTCAGGAACTGAACCCCTTGTCCACTTCATGCCGGATTGAGACCACCAACCCATCAACTGGGCCCTTTTGATGGCAAGAGGTTGGAAGTCCACCCTCAGGGCATGCTAATGCTGCCATTCTGTGAACATGTGTCCTACAAAGAGGCGCAAAGGCTGACTATGCTTGCGCAGATCATCAATTACCTCATCTCTCCTCACCTCCAATCATTTCAGACCACCTTGCCCCTTCCCCATAAACACCCCTGAGTCTCTATTTTCGGGGAGGTGGATTTGAGACTTGTTCTCCCATTTTCCTCACTTGGCTGCCTTGTGATTAAACCCTCTCTCTCTGCAATCTCGTCATCTCGGTGATTGCCTTTCTGGGCGGTGAGCAAAAACGGACCTGGTGTGGTAACAGGAGTGGAAACACAGGGGACGAGATTCTGCTTCCCATACATTCTTGACTCCTCTCTTTCTCTCACATCCCACATCCAGTCCATCAACAAATCCTATCAGCTCTATCTTCAAAATGTATTCACAATCTGACCGCTTTGAATTCCCTTCACTTCTATCACCATAGCCCCTCCATCATTTCTAGCTTGGATTATTGCAATAGCCTACTAAATATTCTCCATGCTTCTGCCTTTGTCCTGATTACGTATTTGCTGGAGTAATCTTTTAAAAAAATGGGTTAGATTATGGCACTCCTAGTTCAAAACCCTCCAATGTTCCCCATTTCACTAAAAGTAAGATCCAAAGTCTTTACAGTGAGCTACAAGGTGGTTCTTGCTCTGCCCCCCACCCCTTCTTAACTTCAGCTCTTTCCACACTTCCCTTTGCTCCGTCCCCTCCAGCTGGCATTTGGGCAGTTGTGTAACGCCCACAAGCACGTTCCTGTCTCAGAGCCCTGCAACTTGCAACTCCTTCTGTCCGGAACACTCTGCATCAGATATTATTCTGGCTCTCTCTTTGACTTTCTTCAAGCCTATGCTCAAAATCACCTTTTGGGAGAGGGCCTCCCAAGCCACCTATACCAACCAGAACCCTCATCTTCATATTCCCCGTTCATCTTACAGTCATGCTGTCACTTAACTATGGGAATATGTTCTGAGAAATGTGTCAGTAGGTGATTTTATCATTGTGCCAACATCATACAGTGTACCTACACAAACCTGGATAGTACAGCCTACTGCACACCTAGGCTGTATGGTACTAATCTCATGGGACCACTGTCGTATATGTGGGTAATCATTGACTGAAATGTCTTTATGTGGTGCATGACTGTATTTTATTTTGTTCCTTTACATGATACTTATCACTATATGATATATAGGTATTTGTTTGTTATCTTCTCCCCCATGAATATAAGTCTCATGAGAGGAACAAATATTTTGTGTTGTTTTGCTTACTGCTGCATCCTCAGTGACTCTAACAGTGCTTAGCACATAGTGGCCTCTCAATAAATAATTGTTTAATAAATGAATGGAAATAGAATGGTTTGGTTAAAATCCTATTCCCCAAAATGCTTCAGAACATTATTCTATTGTCTTCTGGCATGCAAGATTGCCAAAGAAAAACCTAGAGTAGACATGGTTTTTATCCATTTTGTTTAACTTAGTTTCTTTCTTGGATGCTTATAGAATATCTTCAATCATCGAAATTTTTTATAATTTACCAGGATATGTTTAGATGTGGCTGAATGGTCCCACATAATAGGTAGGTGATAATCATTAAGGAGAATTTGGATGCCTTCTCCTAGTTCCTCCATTGTTTCTAGTGTTTCTCTGTTTTAAAGTTCTGTGTTTGAGTTAGCAGAGAATTATTTTTCTGTCCAGTCCATCTATGTTAGTTTCCTATGGCTGCCATAACAAATTATCACAAACTTGGTGGCTTCACAGAACAGAAATTTATTCCCTCACAGTTCTGGAGGCTAGAAGTCCAAAATCAAGGTGCCAAAAAGGTTTCATTCTCTCCAGAGGCTCTAGGGGAACATCTCTGCCTTGTGTCTTCTAGCTTCTGGTGGTTCTCAGCCACATCATTCTAATCTCTGCCTCTGTCTTCGTATCACCTTCCCGTCTATGTGTCTGTATCTCCTCCTCTTCTGTCTCTTATAAAGACACTTGCCATTGGATTTAGGGCCCACCCAAATCTCTTCTTGAGGGCCTTAACTTAATTACATCTACAAAGACCCTTTATCCAAATAAGATATTATTCACAAGGTATGGAGATTAGGAGATGGACATATCTTTTTTGAGGCCACTATTCAACCAATTATACTATCCATGCTGCAATTAAGGGTGTTTCCTTCAAAAGAGAAGCAAATCACTGATTTGTGCTATTGTATATTGTGTGTATATCACAATGCTATTGTGAATTTGTGTATATATGTATTTGTGATCTGTGTGTGCACATATGTCTGTGTGTGCGTTTTGTTTTTTTTTTTTTTTTTGATATTTTAAAAGGAAGTCAGGAGTACCCAATGACCTGTGTCTACAACTTAGACATTCAGAACATATATTAAATCTAATATAATTGATTGTTTTTCAGGCAAAAGTTTCACCCCAGTTTTTGGCTATCAGCTAGAAAATTTTGATAACGTGTATAAGATATTACCAGAGTAACACACAAAGTAGTTTCATTGCCCTAAAACTTCTCTGTGCTCTACCTATTCATCCCTCCCTCCCCACTAACCCTGGCCACCCCTGATCTTTTTCTTGTCTCCATAGTTTTGCCTTTTTCAGAATGTCATATAGTTGGAATCATACGATATACAGTCTTTTCTGATTGGCTTCTTTCACTTAGTAATACGCACTTAACTTCCCTCCGTGTCTTTTTATGGCTCGATAGTTTATTTCTTTTGTAGCACTGAAATTATTCCATTGTCTTCATGTACCAGTTTATTTATCCAGGTATCTACTGAAGGGCATCTTGTTTGCTCCCAGGTTTTGTAAATTGTGAATAAAGCTTCTGTAAACATCCATGTGCAGGTTTTTGTGTGGACATAAGTTTTCAACTCCTTTCGGTAAGTACTAAGGGGTGCCATGGCTGGATCTTTTGATAAGACCACATGTTTCATTTTGTAAGAAACTGCCAAACTGTCTTCCAAAATGGCTGTACCATTTTGCATTCCCACCAGCAATGAATGAAAGTTCCTGTTGCTCCACAACCTCATCAGTATTAGGTGTTGAGATGTGCATTTTGATCCTTTACCACATATGTATGAAATGGTTGAATAAATAGATTTGCATTCATTTTTAGACATGTGAAACTACTGAGGAGTAGAAATCCATGTAAATATAAGCCAGACATTATGTGGAAGAAATCTTAATATATTTGGAGGAGTAAAACTGCAAATAAACATTTGCTAGACATTTTCTATGTTTAAATTTATACATTTAAAAACTGCTGTTTGAAATTAAACATTTTAGATTTCACATGATCCACGCTATGATCTAATTGCTCAAACAAAAGGAGAGAAAGAACACTGAAAGATTCTGGCAAGACCGCCAGACGCAGGCGCAGGGATTTGCTTCCATGGAGTGTCTTCTTGACTTTCACTGTGCCTTTGAGGATAGGCACGGGGCTTGAGAAATACTTTAAAGAGGTTTTTGGCCAGCTATGTTTTGCCAAGCTGTCGTCGCTTTCTCAAAGCTTTCAAAATTATCAAAGACCAACATACATCTCCCACACTATTACTTTATCAGGAAAGGACACTGCAAACAGCATCGCAACTTTCAAAATTCTTGATCATGTCATAAAGCAGCTGCAGTCAAACTGCCCTGCCTCCACTCAAGCTATAACAAGGCAATGTCGTCATGAGATGTAATGTTCCGCAGATGCCAGTTTTAGCAATAGCTGTAATAAGTGTCAGAGGAAACGTTATCACATGGCAGCTCTTTCAAGTTGGGAATGTGACTTTTATTAATCTTTGGAAATAATTGTTTGACTTCAAATTTACATGCCACCTTAAAATAGGGGGAAAATGGTTTGTTCTTACTTGTACTGTCCGGAATTTTAATTAGTGTTGCTCTTTTTCTTATCTTGAACATATTTTACCTCCATCTATAGTCATCATCAGTTACCTACTAGCTTCTAGATGGGAGAGAAATTGCTGAGATTTTCTTAAGAGTTCCTGTGAAGTTTAAAGGCCCTTCCTATTTGACAACCCCTGCAACACTGCCAGCACGGATAATATCTCCTGAATATCCAGTGTGTAAGAAAAACAAAAACGTGACCAACTTCTAATCCCTGAAGAATCAAAGACATGAAAAGGAGGGCAATGCTTTTAAGGTGCTTACAGCTGAGTGGGGGTGCAGAAGTACACAGAAATGATGAATGGTTACATTTATATAGTGTTTTGCAAATTAGTAAGGTTGTGCAGACTTATTGTTTAATCCTTACAATAACCTGAGAAGATAGCTCTTAAAGATAAGAGAATTTCAGGCAACATAAATAATTTGAGAAATTTTTGAAAAAAGACTTTTTATTGACAGAGCCGGTCTAGAGTCTAAGTCTCGTTTCTCTGAATCGACTGTTCTTTCTACTACAATATAGCCGTAACAGTTTAAACTAGAAAGAAAGATGATTGTAAAATGAGCAAATTGGTGGAGACTCCGTAAGGAGAGGTAACTTGTTCCAATTGCTAAGGATAAGAGGCCTAAGAGGACTGACGTGTCCTAGAGGTGGGCATCTGTGGGGCCTTCTCAGGCCCACTGTGTAGATGACCACCATCAGCACTCTTACGTGGAATGTCCTCCTGATCACCAAACTCTGTTTAGCAACCTTCTGAAAGCTTCTTTCCCAGTCGGGCAAAATGGGAAAAATCAAGAGTAATGTGCAAGTTAGGGAAAAAAACAAGAGCCCTGGATTACTTTGCTTTTTAGTTTATTCAGTGCAATAGCTTCCTCTTAGGAACCTACTCCTCCTAAGAAAAGGCTTTTTATTGGGGGGCTAAATGAACTCTTTTGAGATGTGTAATCACTTGTAATCTTTGGCACCATAAAATGTTAGCACATCTTCTAGAAGATCTAGTGCCTTACAGTAATTTCTACCTAAGGTTATTTGTTCTTTTGCTCACTATTTAAGGTTGTTCACACATCTCCATTGACATGTCATAAAGTGAAGATGTATGTGTATTTTTTATCATTCTGTGAGGAATGTATCATTTTTTTGAGTTGTCATCTTTGGTCTTTCTTATCAGAAACCAACTAATTAATTTTCTGACGCTAGCATTTCATTTCCCTTATTTCTTTCTTTATTGAGAAAACACTATGCGTCAGGCTTATGCTACATGATTTTTTTTCTCAAGTATTATTTCATTTAATCTTTATTAAAAAAAAAACTCACAATGCTAAACGAGAGAAATTTGAAGTTCAGTGAATTAATTTCTTCCCCCAAAGTCCTTCAGTTGGCTAAATGGCAGAGCTGATATTTGAACCCAAGTGCTCTGGTTCTCGTCCCTTCCTTGTTCCATGTTCCGCAAACACGCTCTAACCAAACTGCAAGGGCCTGAGTTTGGGGCCACTCCGGATTATCATCCCCTGGAGACAGATGCTCAAATTGATGTTTGCATTTGTTTCCTTGACCATACAAGGTGTAGGGATAACATTTACATGATTGTTGTTTCCATCACAGAGTTAAATAGAAGAGCTATACACAAATCAAAACCAAAACCAAAAACACACAAAAACACTACATAAATTCTTTAGGAACAAAATGTTCTAAGTGCTGGGTAAGTGCAGAATACAGAGTATCCATAACATGCCGGATAGCTTGTAGACGTCTTCAGAATACTAATCATTTCTCACTTCCATGCTGCATGCAAAGTCTGGGTAGCTGTTGGTAAACTTGAATAAAACCACTGAGTATCTTTTGGCTCCGTTTCAGCTAGTAGATTCATGAGTAACCCTGTCACATATAACCAATATCGTGACATATGCATGTTGTTGAACTATTTAGTCACAGACCACATTTCTATTAACACATTCTCATTAGATTTCCTAAACACTATCAAGGCAGTTCATCCTTTCATGCTCCAGCTTAACTCCTCCTCCAGGCCCCATAGGTCCCCTCCACCACCACCCCACCCCCGCTCCTGCACACTGCCGCTCCCACATCTCACCCCTCTCCTTCATTTGGTCCTTTGTTCTTCCCCCTCTGTGTCCAGTCTTTTCACCTTAGTCATCATGTTTTGTCCTTTGTTGCACTTA